ACCATTGGTTTGGGGTCCGGTTAAAGCGCCGGACATTCGCTTTTCGCCTCTCATTTTTGTAAACAACACCCCCGCCACGAGAAGGCAGTGAGTAGGACTTCCCTGGCAGAGGCTGTATACGCGTGGCCGTGGAGAGTATTTCGAGAGGGAGGGCGAACCTCCCCGATCTGCCATACCAGGGCATTTGGGGGCAACTACAGATAAAACGATATCTTTCAAATTTAACATTAAAAACTTTTGAAAAGTCCCAAAACAACCCTCTCCAAATTCTTTAGAAGCTCCTAAAAACGCCAGGAAATGGATGACTGATTGATATTTGATTGATATTTGCCTATACTGTGATTATACTTAGTATTTGTTAGAAATTTCTAAAGTTCAAGGTCATGTGTCACAATAAATATCCTCAATTTTCTGTACATAAACGAACCTTGGGGTAAAGTGTTTCTTCCATATTTCTATTGGGTTTTCTCGTATTCAAGTTTTCGTGCAGATTAAGCCTGGAATTATTAGAAGAGCTTAGGAACTCAATTCCAATGTTCAGTCACACTTATCAAACACCATCCAAAATACCTAACCACTGCTACCTAATTTCCCAGATGACGTTAACTTGAGATAAGAAATTACTTTCATATGGTAAAATGAAAGTTTGTTGAAGTTTGCACGATTAACCTTACTAGTGGTTGGAGATATTAGATGACAGGATTCAAAATTGGTGAATATGGTTCCACTTGTTGCCTTACAGTGTATTCTGAGGTTTTGAAAGTATTTTACATATTTTGTTCTACAAATCGACTTTTCCTTCAATTTATATTTATTTTTTTTCCAATCTTAACTACTACTGTAGTGAACAGAACACAGGTGGGGACAATCGAATGTAATTGACACGAAATTACAGAACTTGTTAATAAAATCTAGCAACCATATAGTAAATGCTTAATTTGCAAAATGTCCATCAATTGTCCCAGGATGACTCAGACTTCATTGTTCCTGCATTTTCATACAAATTGCATTCTATTTCCATTCCTTACTATTCGATCCTCTAAGCTCTCTGCTGCCAGACATTCTGTTCACGACTAACATCATATAGTACTTATGTCTATATAAGTAGCACACACCATACTACCACTAATATTGTTATTATTTCTCATACTTTAATATTTTTATTCTGACAGTTTCATCTCGCTATGTTAATGTATGGTAATCTAAACCGGTGCACATGTTCTTTGACGCTTATAACGGACTCAAGAGAAATTTATTTAGATGACCTTAAGAAATATCATTACCTGTAATCATTAAAATGGTTCAAGCAAAACTATACATGGATTATTATAAAATATAATTTTAGGGTAATTATTTCAATATCTGATTTTTATTTTTATTATTAATAATACGATAAAGATTAAACTAACCATTTAATGCAGTACGATCAACAGTTTTAACTGGTTGAATTTTATCCAGTTGATGAAGCGATTGCGTCAAACTTGAACATTGATGAACCTCCTTTTGTTTATGACTTTAAAAATGTACAAAAATGATGAACGTTTTTAAACATTAAGTTTAAAAAAGAAAACATTATTTGCACTGTATAGTGTCCAAGTTCTAAATAATAGAATATATATATATATAAAATTTTGGTTAATGATCCTGATTTTGGTCGCAAATCATTTGTAGATCTACTTTAATAATCGGTCGGTTAAATCGTATCATTCAGCTTCGTTTTTCAACTAACATGCCACTTATTTCTTTTAAAGACTACAAATCTTGTTCCAATGTAAACTGGAGCCCATGTGCACCATTGGTTTGGGGTCCGGTTAAAGCGCCGGACATTCGCTTTTCGTCCTCTCATTTTTGTAAACAACACCCCCGCCACGAGAAGGCAGTGAGTAGGACTTCCCTGGTAGAGGCTATATACGCATGGCCATGTGAGAGCATTTCGAGAGGGAGAGCGGACTCTCCCCACTCTCGGCCGTACCAGGGCATTTGGGGGCATATATATATATATATATATATATATATATATATATATATATATATATATATATTTATTTATTTATTTATTTATTTATTTATTTATTAAACATTAGAAATATTCTGCATCATCTGTTAAAATAATTTTGTTTAATTAAAAGCGGAAAAGAATATAGAGGGATAACATAAACTAACCTGGTACAAAAATTTCCATAACATCCATCGCAGGATAACAGTACTAGTTGTCTTTCATTACATAAATGATAATCGCAGATATTATCATTAGCATCATCAGAACGAAATTGACTAGATCCGGAAGAAAGAATATTTATAGGAAGCAACAATAATAACATCAATCTAACCTTGAAGATTGATGACATTTGTAGGTTGAACTTGAAATTGGACAATTATGTGCAGTAATTGAACTATGAATTTTACTACAAAATAAACGGAAAATCATTTTTTTCTTTCAAAAATAAGAAATGAATGGAATGAGTGTTAACTAACTTCCTGTAAACTCAAAGGGATGAGCGAGTAAGTTATTACGTGTAATTTCTTTGCTAAGTATTAGACTTCGTGGTGTCGACATATATAAGTAGTATGTAACATAAGTCGAGAATGGAAGACCTGGCAGCAGAAGGTTAAGATGATCGAATCGAAGTGAAAAAAAACAGACAGTAATTTTATGGCAATGAAGTTTAAGACAACTGATGGAGGATTTGCAAATGAAGTACTGAACGTATGGTTTTCGAATTTGAAAGTACTCTGTAATTTTGTATCAAAATACGACTAGTCCTCCCCCACCTGTTAACCTGATTTTATTAATAATTGGATATGCTGTCTTAAAATTTCACCAATGTGTGCAGAGTCTGTTACTAGACGTAATAAAAAATACATAAGTGACTGATACGAACTCTTCCTTAACCGTAAATGATTATTGACTTGACTTCTTGGCATATGATCGGTTGTTATCAGGATCTGAGCTATCAACTCAACGAATTGAAGATAGCTCTCAACAACAGGTTCCAAGCCTTACAGAATCTACTGAAGGAAGAAGAAACTACTATGGACGACAACTGGAATGGTATCAAAGAAGCGTTAACTTCAACGTGTCAAGAGGCTCTTGGCTTCAAGAAGCATCATCATAAGGAATGGATCTCTATAGAAACACTGGACAGGATCAAAGAAAGGAAGAACAATACATCAATTAACAACAGCCGAACACGAGCAGAGAAAGTCCAAGCACAGACTGAGTACATGGGAGCAAACAAGCAAGTGAAGAAAAGCATTTGAGCCGACAAGCAGAAATACGTGGATGAACTAGCAACGACGGCGTAAAAAGTTGCAAGAGAAAGAAATATGAAACAACTTTATGATACAACGAAAAAACTAGCAGGGAGATATAGTAAACCAGAGAGACTGGTAAAGGACAAAGGAGGCAGGTCAATCATTGAAATCCAAAAACAGCGGAACAGATGGGCGTAGTACTTCGAGGAACTCCTGAATAGGCCGGCTCCAATGAACCTACAGGACATCGAAGCAGCACACACAGATCTTCCTATAGATGTCAATCCACCAACGACGGGAGAAATCAGAATGGCGATCAGACAAATCAAGAGCGGGAAAGCAGCAGGACCCGACAATATACCAGCTGAAGCACTGAAGTCAAATGTCGAAGTAACTACAAACATGCTTCACCTTCTACCCAAGAAGATTTAGGAGGAGAAACAAGTGCCGGTGGATAGGTAAATTTAAATATCCTGCCGAAACTGCGTTCAAAGAGTTGGGTGTTAACACCATGGAGCTTTCATTGTCCTTGTGAGCAACATTAACACTTGTTCTGCCAATGTTTGCATATTTACTTTGATTGCCTTTCACTTCAACCAGATTTTTGACCCTATATTTACTTAGGATTTCTTCTGATCGGAAAACTGGGTCTATTTCAATGCCTAATGATTGCTGACTGCACTAAGTGACAATTTTTCAAAATTTCTCCCGTTTTCTTTCCTTTGCTTCTAGCCAAAATTTTAATGTTTTCCCAGTGGTCTACATGTACTGATATATATATATATATATATATATATATATATATATATATATATATAAAGACATCGTGGCGTTTGACAGACAGGTGGTGTTTATTTACAAGGGGTTGAAGAGGGCTGGTGGTGTTTAAAGAGACAATGAAGGCTTGACGGTTAAAATGTTAAGATCAGGGAACTCAACCTCAACAAAATAATTCTTTTCTAACATCTTAAATATTTTATTTGAAGAATGTATAATAGCAGGAATCGCAAATCCTATATCAGAGTAAAACTTATAACGTTTGGAAAATTCAAAAACTATTTGAGGCAAGAGCTCCATTTGGAGTATAAGACCATAAATCACTTACCAAAAGACACGGTCACAGTGTTCACAATGAATGGGTAGAAAATCTGAAGAAGAAAAACTACGCTAGAACATTTTTTACTGAATTTATATATCATGAAACTAAATGACGATGCTTTAAACGGAAAAAGTTTACCAAGTGGTAATTTTATGATTTTTTTCGAGCACTTGAAGATAGAAAGTGACTTGGTATAAAAACTAACAACACATCACAAGTTTCAACATAACGAGAGTGCTCTAAATAGCAGAAACACTTGTTAGTATAATGGTTTGTGCCGGTTGTTGAATTTTGTGCTCTACATTACGGAATGGCCCTAGACACCGAAAATCACGAAGCACACTTTACTAAACGACTCAGATCAACAGTCATTGACTTCATGAACTGGTACTATGTTTCGGTATGGCTACCTTAGATTTTTTTGAACCAAATTCCATTTAAACTAACACTTCACGTTGGAATATACGGTAACCTGGTAAATGTAACAAGCGACTCAGATAACTCAACTGGTACAAGTTTAGTTTGACCGAATGACTCGCTTTTACTCAGAACCTTGCACATAACCTCAACACTACTTACTTAACGGATTCACAGAAGACATGTTATGCCTTGATGACATCTTTAATTAAATACGTACTTGTGCATTATTTAAACTCTAAAAGGCAATCTGAATAGTTGAGTAGAGGAGCATGATCCGTATTTTGGTAACTAACCTAATAACTCATCCACAAAACAGTTTGCAAATGTTGGGTCAGTTTCCTGTTTAAAAGATGAAATTCTGTCTGCAGACGAACCTATTGAAGCTGATGAAGATCCGTAAATAAGCAATGAACCACAAGTTAATTACATGTGATACGAGGTACCCAATAATAAATTTTTAGCATACAACAGGACCCAATCGTGAGGATAATACCTTTCACATTATCCTAATGAAGACGACCAATGCCTTTACGAAAGACTATTTAACAATTTTTTGATCAACCCAAGTTTTCATCCACCTCAATATAACTCTGTAGTAAAAAAATGAACTTATCTACCATGAAGTCAAAATATGTATACGGCTAAAAGTCTATTTACTAAGGTGCATACTACACGTTCCAGGTCACTGTCCACTTAATTTGGTTGTTGTGAGGAGTAAGATTTTTTATAGGTGAGAAATTTAAGATTATTGAAATCTTATTTTAGTTAAATTAGTGAATACTTATCAAAAATTGAGATGATTTATTCAGCTACTTTACTTCTAGATAAAAAGTAAGGAATACTTACCCAACTGTCTGCAATCCTTTTGAGAACAATGAACCCCAATATTTAGTTCAGTCATTATACCTAAAGAAAAGTATGTAATGCTAGTTATATTGGCTGTACACAAATGAACGTAAATAACTCAGTCCCCACTAAAAAAGCGACTGAAGGTACCTGAAAATGTTTGGGAAACATTTACGAAGATTTAGCAGTTAAGAGGCAATTACGAAAGCTTATTGTTCGTTTTAAGCAGGGGCTAGACGCTTTTATGCAGTACTCCAGTGTAGAGCGCACGAACACTACAAAGTTAAAAACATTTTAGTATCGACACGACTAAGGGCTCTATGTGTTGACCATAGGGTTCTAACACCTTTGGCGGCTACTGCACGGCAGTATTTTTTGAGTCTTGACCAACGATGACTCCTAAGTCATTGTGTGTCTGGACAACAGGTAGCTCAAGGCTATTCATCATCTATGAATTGAACAATATGCATCACAATACACTTTGAAGTATTTATCGGCAACTGCCAAGTTTGAGACCATTCGGATAATTTTTCCAGGTCATTTTGAAGTTCTAAGCAATCACCTTTACTTTTTATCGCTCTTCATAACTTGACATCGTCAGTATATATCAAAACGGATGATTATAGGAAGCGAGTAGGGTAGTTTACATACAAGAGAAATAACACTGAACCCGCTGTTAACTTAGTCTAAGGTCTTTTGGAACGAATTTATTGCGACATTTCTCCTTAATTTGCGAAACTTTGCGCGTAACCCCCTTTATATTCAATATATATTGTTCATCTCTTTCAATAAAAAACGAATATAGCTGACGGATTAGTACTCACCGTGCCTTTATTACTCAAATAAACGCTATCTAATTTATTTGTCCATCTTTTGTTATCGTCCGCGACATGTGACGTTCTTTTGGGCCGCTCTTCACTAGGTCAGAATTTTGGCGCGATTGTTATTTAAAAACACTTGGATTTTTGTATCGCGTCACACCATCGCTGCCACCACGTGCAGAAAAACCTTAAGTGAACTTATTTATTGTTATTATCCCAAAAGTAGTTTACACATAACACTCATTTCACAATAATTTTTATCATTTCTGTGATTTGATATACCTTATTCATAGACAGACAACTCATATTTTTTGGTCTTAATATCCTTCTGTATGTTACTAATAATTTTGGGCATTATTATGCCCTACATAATTTCTTTTACTGAGATTTACCACAAATTCAACATGAGATCAACGCTTTTTAATGAATAATGAATGTTCCGAATCCGGAATTTGTGTTTGCTTAGTGAGTAGACTATGAGTTCAAGAGACTGACTATCTTCGAAGACTCAGTTACACCGTGCTTATGCATTTTTTTAAATCTTGTATGGCCGCACGAAATTATATTAATGTATTTTCATTAGACAGTTACGAATGATCATCAGATGCCTAAAATAAAATCTGTGCGGACGATTATATTATTACCTGCGCAATCGGTAGAGCTATGATTTGTGAGCGAATCAATCAACCTTAAGATCGAAAGCCTTGGATTTAGGAGAGAAGTTCGTTCAGACACATGTGTAGTGAGTTGAAATATCTGTCTTCAATTTCAATTTTAAGATTGTATTTATCTGAGGTTCATTTTGTTTTTAACTGTTTTTTGCTTTCCATGGTAAGTATAAGTGCATTCTGTCACTTTCTGGGTCGTAGAATGTCCTATTCTTTTGTTTTTCTCTTTTTCAGGCCTTTGCACTCATGTTACTCTGCATCACCTAGTGCACAAAAAGCTTTCTGGCTAGACGTGAACCGCTGTAAATGAAATGTCTCTTATATACGGAATCTATTGGCCTTGAATTCCCAAGAAACCACTACAAATTTGTGACATAACTTAATATGCAAGCTTCCTCATGCGCTACTGTTGAAACAGTCAATATCAGATTCGGTGAGACAATGGTCTGTAGACGAGCCAATTGGATTCAAGACAGTAGGTCTTGAATATTGGGAGGAAATTCATTTGTCAGTTCTTCCAAATAGTATTTGGCTGTAGAGCTGGTGTCAGTTCTCCATGAAAACCCTTAGTCTGTTTTTCATCAATACATTCTAGCTCTAAATCACAATCTTATATCCTGGTAACTAGTACTACCGTCCAATTCACACTCTAGTGGTCATTTATGAATCATTATACAAGTCCTAGAGAACTTTGTGGACGCAGTCGAAAATGGTGTATATGGAATTTGCGATAAGCTCGTGATAATTCGAGCCAATTATACAATGTGAAAAATGAAAGATGGCCATGTAGATGTTGTAGATTGGTTGATGTTGGAGATTAACACCGTCGAAACCCGGATTAGTTGTATAAGGGTTAAACTTTAGCGTGAGATAAAAGTTTCTGCGTCCGCAGCATCTACTTTGATTTAATTTAGACTATTTCAAACAACCGCGATCTATCTTTGGTAATCAAACTCACTTCATTTCTCCGAAGCGTCAATTTCAATGCACTTAGTGACTTTAATTTAAAAATAACACATTTGAACGAATTTCCTGGATCACTTTATATTAGTTCTTATTTCTGCTACTGGCTATCTTTGCAAGAGTATCGTCAACCTAAAAACTGAAACTTCTTGCAAGAAATGGTAATGAATAAATGTTTGCCTTACTTCTGGCGAAAGTTCAACATATCTATAGGACCAGTGAAATGTCACTAAGCCCTAGCTAAATCATCCGGCAGTCGGGTTACTAAATATCGAACAAATCATTGGTCCCTGTTAAGGCCAAGGACAACCAACGCACATCAGTTAACCGTACGCCATGTACTGGCTAATGCGGTTGTCGTCACGCTTTCGCTTGTACCTTCTTTAACCAATGAAATTCCCTAATAACGTCCTTTGTATTGTACGGTCTTCAAGGCATTCATAGTACCTTGATACGACGAACGGGCAATGCACGCTGAATGATGATTTCCAGATGTGACTTCAACGTTAGCCGTTAGTCACACCATTCCCGTCTAACTCGGGTAGGTCCTTATTCATTCAACAGAGATCACCAACGTTGATGATCTGAATATCATTACCATTTGCATGAGTCTGATTTATTTCCTGAAATATAATGATTTGGTGGCCTATATATAATCAGACAAGGCAATATTAACAGCTCAGTAGGAGTTGTTATAGTTTGAAGCTGAAACACAACAATTATAACCCCAAAAAGGCTACTATTTTTACCATTAATCTATTTGTAACAGCATCTGAATAGTGAATCGCTAAGGAAGTTGAGGTGCCATGTACCGTAAAATTATGAAAACATTTTAAAATCAGATTTGAGATTGAAAAATAGCTTTGCAAATCTATTTAGAATTAAATTAGACCTTTCACTTTGCACACGGTAGAAACAAGAAAGTATCGCGAAAAGATGTTGCGATGTCACAATGTCGCTGCCGATCTTTCTTTCCAGATGTGTGCTTATTCTGGGATACATTCTGTAGGATAGAATAATGAATGATGTCCCTCGCTACATCTAAGTTTTTATCCACTGTGTGCCTCCACCCCTTTCGTGAACATTGAGCATGCTGTGGATGCTCCGTCATTGTTATGTAGTAGGGAACATTATCGTCCCTTTCAAGTATTTCACTGGTGATGGCTACGTTAAACATGACAAAACCATGGTTACTGCACCCTATTTGTGCGTAAACATGGACATCGTCAACTGGTAGTTAGTTATTTGTCAGCAAATAATCTAAGTTTGAAGGTTTCCCGTCCGTATACTATCACGTTAGGTCACCTACACTGCCAGTCAATGCTGGACTTTTAATGACTGTACTACATTGTTTGTCACACCATCTTGTAGAGGATTTATCCTGCCTGCTGAGACTGAGGGATAGATTGCTGAAGTCTCCAGTTAGTAATATTTGGTCAAACCACAAGTGCAGTAAATTTATCATTGTTCTCATTCTTTCATTTTCTGGGTCTTATAAATTCTGTGGACCGATACATTCCTCCAATCATGTACTTTGTTCCGTTCGCACAGTAGTAAAACTAGCATGTTTCTACTGCCTTGAATAACTCGCTACTATGTAGCTTTGCGTATTTGAAGCGACTGTTAATGTATATTGTTACTCCGCCTCCTGTTTTGTGTCCACTATCTCATAGGAGAATTGTCATGCCTTTCCAGCTGTTTAGTGAGATTTGTGATCTTCAGATCTGACTGAAAGCACATGTTTGTGATTTGTCTTGGTTCATGCCTAAGCAGATGGGCACTTGATGATTTGTTCTGCTCTCTGGTGCTGCTCTACAGCAGCATTTGACTTCTGAGTTATATGCAGAATTTTTTTATAAGTGAATCAGACAGCTCTTGAGAGACTAGCAGCCGTTGAATCCTTTTCCAGTATAGTGTGTCCCATTAACGGGAATGTCGTCTCTATGTTCTGCATCATAGGTTGCTGACCAAAGTCTACCGACACCAAGGTGTGTTTTATTGGGCCCTTTTTCTGTTGTATTGTTGATAAGGAATGGCTTCCACAACACTTGATGTGACTGCAGATGAAGTTTATCGAGTTGTACGGGGCCTGATGGGCCTCAGAAAAGTCCATTTGATTTCTGAAGCTCGTAGCAATCAAGCGCAGAGACTTTATGTTCATGAGGCGTGACGGAAGAAGAAGCCTGGAAACACTAATAATTGTAGTCGTGTGAAGATACGGAGAAATATCCTAGCTTTGTTCTGGTACTGCCCTATTAGTTGACGTTCACTTCGCTAGCACCAATTTGATATCATAATGCAAAACAACATAACAGACTGTGTTATCCTTTCTCAGCACTGAACAGTATTTGTCTCACCGTTCTTTGTCAAAGTCTGCACCACTTTTCAACAAGCTTTCTGTGACTCTAGAACATCGATAAAATCAGGGGAATCTGTTTGATGTCTTTGTTCCACATTTCTAACACTTTGAGAGACACGTTATTGCTATTTTCCTTCCTAACGTTTGCTCAATGCCTCTAAATATTATCAGGTATTTGGTATTATAACGATCGGTAATCTCATTGGTGTAAAAGCTAGGATTGCAGCTCCCATAATTGAGTGTTTAATTGAGCCTCTGTTTAATGATTTTGATATAATAACAATAATTTATTCTCAAATAACAGTTCGTTACATAAGGCATGCCAGTTTACAGGCAAGATCAAATTGTTACAAATGATACAATTTGCAACTGTAGTAAATTACTCAGCAAGGTTGATAATTTACAAGATATGAATGTAAATGGTTTTAGTCAGTATCATAGTTGGCGCGCTTCATTAAATTTGCATTGCGACGTGCATCTGACTCTGACGAACTGCGTTTACGTCCATATGTACAGACATATCTCACGAAAAAAACACTTTAGAGTTGGGTCATCATTGTTCTTTTTACACACTGACATAACGTACTTAGTATGCTTATACTAAAGAAATAATCATTAACCACAGAAGTCATATTACCTTATGTATTTCTTTCAGACACGTCTCAAAATTGTCCCAACTTGTAGATCTTCGAGATAACATAATATCATTGAAGATTCGTCCTATATTATGCATCATCACGATGGCATCATCGTCGTTACTTGAAGAATGGACATTATCAGACATGGTGTGGCTGAACTCAATTCAAATCTAAAAATGTCTTGATTTGACCGCCTCTGGAAAACTTCACTCATTGCCGATGTGACGCATCAATCATCTTGTGACCGTTTGAAATTCAAGTGCTGGCAACCTCCATCAGTGGACGATACGCCTGAAGCGTTGCCACATGCAACTGATGGTCGATAATAGATTCATGTGGAGTTGGGGGCTTCTAGAAATCGCAATCTTATATTGCTTTGGAATATTTGAGGCTTCAAGGATGATGCAGGACGAGGTCACCCGTTTCGTATCTCAAGGGGGCTAAAAATCGGTGCAAGAAAAACAG